TCCAGCTTATGAGACAGAGCCCAGTCTGTAGCTGGAGAGGGCTACAGAGAGACCATTAGGAACCCAAACTAGAAATTAAAGGCTAAGATGACCCAAATTCGCAAAGTACTTTAAAAATAACAGACATAGCATGCATCTGGAGCCACACAAGTCCTTTAAGACTCGTGGTCTTGGAGCAGTCGCAGCACTCAGCTCCTCATGGAGCTGAGTAACAGGGCAACTTTTCAGATGGTTGGAGCAACAGTGCCGTTGTGGAAGACGTTATTCCCCGGATTAGAGGTGGAGATACCAGCTACGGCGGAGGCCTCTTGAACACCTGGGACTCCAACACGTACCGGCACTGGGGAAGGTCATTAAAATACAATCCTGCAGTTATTGATTTTGAGGTAAGTCTTTCTGCTGCTGAAGAAACTCTGCCACGAGAAGCAATGAAAGCGTAGCCGAGCAGATCATTTCGTATTTTCATTGTGATCCCATCACAGAACAAGATTAAATGCAACGGGCCACTGATCTGGCAACCCCTTATTCATTTCACAATGGGGAGAGCATCTCAGGGCGACAGCAGCAGCGGGGAGGAGTGAGAGGCTTAATGCTGGATTAGCGACAAGTCGCGTTTCTGATGCGTCCCCAAACGGCTTCCCAAGGAGTGGCTCTCGGTGGTGGCATCTGTCACTGTTACTCTCCCTGCCAGCCCTTGGGGACTCACACGTGGCCATCCCTCCCTTTGGAGCTGTGGTGGGTCTGTGCAGCGGATTAGCGACAAGTCGCGTTTCTGATGTGTCCCCAAACGGCTTCCCAAGGAGCAGCTCTTGGTGGTGGCATCCGTCACTGTTACTCTCCCTGCCCATCCTTGGGGACTCCCATGTGGCCGTCCCTCCCTTTGGAGCGCGGTGGGTCTGTGCAGACTCCCCTGTGCATTTCCTTCCATGACTCTCTCCAGAGGTTCCTGGTCCACCTTGTCCGTGGATCCTGTCTCTCTCCAGCAGTCTGAGCTCCTCCAAGAGGGTCAGTGGCCCTAAAAAGCAGAAAGGTCCCGCTCCTGACTCTCCACTCCCTGGATGCCACTGAAGTGGAGAGAGCATTGAGGCTCCCACAGGGTTCCAGAGATGGAGATGAGATGGATGAGAGCAGAGAAGGGAAAAGTGAAGCACAACCCTAAGAACAAATCCCCCGGTGCTCCCAGGCAATGCTTTTACAGTGCATCTTGCACTGCAAGGGCTGCCAGAGAGCACACGGTCGCAGGGAATATCCCACACTGTGGCTAGGGCATGAAACCTGCCCTGAGATGTTTTAATGGGGTCACATTTAATGGGACCGCTCCGGGACCACAGCTGCACGGTGCACACATGCTGCCACTTCCATTCTCTCCTTCTAATTTAAAAGCACTTCTGCTGCTCACTGTGACAGCAAGAGGAGCAGAAAGCTGGGAGAAGAGAGAAGGGAAGGTAGAATCAGGAATTATGTGCAATAGTATCGGGGCAAGCAGGAATTTGCAAGCTTTTTGGTGCGGCAGCACGGTGATGGAGGGGCCTGTTAAATTAGAAGCTCTTCCAGTTGCAGCTGGACGCACAGCGCAGGTTATTCACCTTTCTGCACAAGTTCCCATCAATTCTTGGCAAAATGTTTTGCGATTTTCCAGTAAACTGCTCACTGGTGTCTCTGCTGGCTGCTTTAGGAGCTCAGAAATTGCTGTGGCTTTGGGCCGCTGATAAGCGCCTGTGTCCACTTTGTCTCTTATCTTCAGCTTCCTCCCCGCTGATAAACAGGCTTGTGCAAATTTGCCAAAAGCTGTTCCCAAAGCCCAGAGCAATGGGGAGATCCAAGCCCTGCTCCGGGCAGCACTGCCAATGATGCCTAGTGAAATCCTGTCAGTGCACAGCACGACTTCTGCCACTGGTGAGACTGGAAGGGCTGGGATTTCAAGGGAACCAGTTTATAAATACGAGCTAAACAGCCTCTCCGATGGCTTCACCAGACTGAACACGGCCATCCGCTCCTGAGGCCTCCCCTAAGCCGGTCCTTTTGTAGAAGAGGCTAAATGCAGAAGGCAGGTTATAGTTACAGTCATCCACATTCATCTGAATGCTGAGAGCGGGACCTCGCTACGCAGATACTTGGAGCTCGTCGCATTTTTAACTCCCTAGATGGCACAACGCGATTTTGCGGCGTTATAGGGGATCCTTCTAGCAGCCAACTGAGCCGGCATCTTTATCCCTTGCAGCTGCGGCCCATCCACGAGATCCTGCGCCGCAGCGACGTGGTGCTGGCCGGGGACACGTGCGTCTGCCAGTGCCCGCCCGGCTACGGTGGCCCGGCCTGCGCACAGAGCAAGCGCCCAGGTAGGCCCTGTGGGCGGCCCTGTGACAGCCTTGAGTTGAGGGGTCGGTTAATTGCTATAAACACATGGAAATAAGGGGGTGTTTGCTAGCTGGAGGATTAGGGATGCTGTGGGAAGAGAGGAGCTGGGAAGCAGCTCCAGCCACAGCTCGGCCATCCGTGGCCTCGTCCGTGCTCCAGGAAGACCGGATCAATGCATGAGGCCGAGAGCCCAAACAGTGCTGTGATGGGGGCAAGGGTGGCCCTGGTGGCCTGTGTGCACAGGGGCACTCACGGTGTCCTGGGCAGGAGGGTTCCCAAGTGCTCTGGTGCCATCCACGGAATGGGGGAGAGTGCAAATCCCGACGGACTGAGAGGGAAGGGAGACCCGAAGCTTCAGGCTGACCGATCAAAATGATCTCTCAGAAAGTGGTGCTGAGGTAATGGTCTGCCAAAAGTGCTCTTTTGATAAAAACAAACAAAAGCAGCATTCCAAATCACAGCACTGCAGCTGGCAGAAAATCCATCTTTGGACAGGCTCTTATAAACAGAGCTCCAGGCATTTAAGAATGTGGCTGTAATTAGGTCCCACCATTGGAAAACCAAAGCCTTGACAAGATGACGAATAAGAGCAGAGTTGGGCTGATATTTTATGAAGTCCTCCTCAAAAGGGCTGGCTCAGTGACTCAGAGTGGGGTTTCATTAAACCCCCCATCCTTTGATCTGTCTCCTAAGCTGAGGATGAGCAGCGTGGAAGGCTGAGGACCTGCCCTGAAGGTCTCCCACCAAATGGATGTGCCCAGGACCAGAGAGTGTGGGAGCTGCTTGGTGCCATGGCCAGCCTGGTTATGGCCCAAGCGTGGGTATTTCACCTAGCAGCTCCAGGTCATGGTAACTTCCAGCTCAGGGAAAATGTTTAGTTCCAAGACTCATTTTTTTTTGAATGATGATGCTTTGGTGTACCAGAAACCCAGCTTTCCAGCCAGCACAAAGAGCACAGAGATCCATTTTTGCTGTCCGGATTAATACAGTGTGTGAGCCAGGAATGAAGGCCAGCTGAGTAAATAAAAGAGGACAGTAAATGACAGACACCAAGTATTCCCATCAATTGGGAGCACAGACATAGTCTATAGTATTGGATGCACCTGACAACTCCTCCTGCCCTGTAATGAAAAGGGCTTGACGTGACCCTTCTCTGAAGGGACACGGCCTTTGCAGGACTCCGCACAGGGCTGTGCCCATGCTGATGGGTTTGGAGTGGGGAAACTGGTACACAGAGACCATCACCAGCCCTTTTTGGGGGGAAAAGCCAATTTTGAAGGATCAGAAAAGAAAGAGCTACTGGTGTCTGAGGAACGTGATGCTGCTTCATCAACCCTGTCTTCAAGGTGCCTGCAAACCTTGATCTCAGGAGTGGTCTGGGGGCCAGGCAGGGAGCGGGTTGGCCATGGGGACCTGCATCGGAGCAGAACTGCAGAACTAAACAATTCTTTTTCCTTTCTTTTTAATGGCCTTACAGGCAGGGAGACGAACGGGCACTGGAGCCGTGCTGACGCCGCGGCACGCAGGCCTGCAAACACTGCAGGGAAATCCGACAAATAATGGTGAACCATTGCATTTACATACAAAGATGTAGTGAAAACTGCCCAACTCCTCCGTTTTGATTCAATACCTTCCCGCTCTGTTCTCAGCTCCCCCCCAGTTTCAAAGCATCCCCAGCAGCGCAGGGACCCCCGTGTGACACAGGAGCAGCGCGGCGGTGACCTGGCTGCGTGAGCGCGAGGTTATAAGTAGTCATAAAACACATTTACTAAAACTGTTTACATAAGTAAGCTTCGCTCGCAGAAATTTTTATATTTGCCTTTGGAAAACAGATTAAAAGCTCGCGATCCTTGCATTTTTATGCAGTTGGTATTGACATATGCACCATGAAACTTTTATAAGTTGGCACTGTCAGATTTGAAAGTGTAGCATATTGGGCAGGGCTGCATGTGCAGCAAAGCCATATGCTGAGCTGTGCGGGAAGAAGCTAAAGCCCAAAGACACTGGAGAGTCCTGGGGAAAATGTGAATCCAAACTGATGAGAATCATAAATAAATACGCAAATAATAAACAGACAGACCCAAACAAAACCATTCTGCAGAGGATGCTCCCGCGCAAGTGAAGGCTATTCCTCCTTGGGATGCGTGATGAATTGACTATTAGAACAGAGGCATTTTATCTCCGAGGCATCCCGAGCTGGAGAAGATGCTAACGGGCTGCTTGATTTAAGGCTCTTTTTTGAATGTGAGACGTAAATCTCGGCACAAAAATACACACAGTATTGAACAGCATCCAGGGAGTGCAGCAAGAGCCCCAGCTCAGGGCTCTTAATGAACTGCTGCAAAAACCTGGGGTGGACAGAAAGCAAATGGCACTTCATTTTACTGCGCTTTTCATTACAAGGAGAGAAGAAAAAAAAAAGCCCTGAGAAGGAATCTGGCATTATGAAAAGCAACAACAGCGACAAAACCTCAGAGCACAAAGGAGCACTTTCTATACATGTGAATGGGAAGAAGGAGTGGAAAGGAATCGCGGTTTAGTGAAAGAAATTGCTGGCTCTAGCTCTGATTCTTGGAAATGCTTGTTTTTCCAACAGCATGTCAGTGGTGATTTAGAGCCTGACACTTAGCTGATGTAAATCAGCCTGGCTCCTTCGGTGCAGCTGATTTATGCTACCTGAAGATCTGGCCCCATATTTCCTTTTGTGCATGCACTTGCCAAAAGACTGCTTTTTTCATCACTTCCCCCCTTCCTTGAAAAAGAAACTACAGGCTCTTTTCTTATAAGAAAACAACCAACCATGTTGTCTTGAACACTGAGATGTGTTTTTTTTCCTATGGCAGCTTTCCAAGGCATGGGCAAGTGGGTGATAAAATTGTGGCCTTTTGGCCCACCTTGCGTTTTCCAGGCAAATGTTATATTTACCCAGACACAAACCTGGTCTCACGGCCTCGATTCTGATGTCCTCCTTGTTAGGGAGAAAGTGCCATGAAGCACCACGGAATCTGGACAGCTTAGACACCCAAAAAGAAAGTGAAATGTAGGAACAAAGAACAGTTTTCCCAGCAAATAGCACCGTCAATACAGTTTGGCACTGGGCCAGCAAGTTGTGTTAAAAACATGTGACGGTGCCGTTCCACCAAGGATTAATTTGGCTCACGGGCTATTTTTACTTCTACATATATTGCTTAGGATTCAAGAAAATGCCTGCCAGTAAATGAGTAAAAAGTCATCTTAGTTAGAAAACAACGTATGCCTCGCTTGTGACCAGAGGGAAGAAATTAATGAAAATACAGATTTGGTGCCTTCAAGGCTGGGGAGTGATGGGGCCTGCAAAAAGGCAACCTGCACCCCCATCTCGTGAGTTGTTTCTAGAAGAACAGATCACAGGCTGGGGAATCGCAGAAAGAAAATAAATCCAAGTGATTAAAGAAACCGAACATGAAATGTCACCACAAAGCACCTATAAATGAGGGCAAAAAGCTGGGATTTGCCTGGCATTTTTCATTTCCCACTTGGAACGTGCAGTTTTGGAGCATGGACATCAATGCTGGGATACATGTAGGGCAGAGCTCGTCACGCACCTCGCACCCACGGGCAATGAAATGCAAACGCAGAGGTTTGGATCAAATGCCAAAGCCAAATCCCTCCCTAGCCCCCTGCTTCCCGCTCCAGCCCTGCGCTTCATCCCGGCCTCCGCTCTGTCCCTCGGGGCAAACTCGGAAGCAGGGAAGCGGAAGCTGAGGGATAGGAAGAAGCTGCCTGCAAGGGCTGTAAAAAGAAGAAAAGAAGCAGATTATGAGCAATTACACTTTTACAATGGTAGTCAATGGAGCTAATACATCTCACGCTGAAGTGGCCAGCGTGAGAGTTGTGCTAGACATGATAAGTGGCAAAAAGTACGTTTCTTTCTTAAACTAAAAGCTCAGAGGCTACAATAAAACAGTGCAGTTCCACCCTGGTTTTAATGAATGGATTTTCACCCCTTGCACGCTGACACACATTTGATATAGTTATTTATCCTATACATTTCTCGCGGCATATTTCCCAGGAGACCTTGTTTATCTCTCTCATAAGTACATGATGGATGTATGGTGCTTTGGATAAATGGTATCACAATCAGATATTTTTATGGATATAGGCAAACTGGGTTATTAACAAAGGAAGGGCAGAGAGGAACCAGGACGCAAAAGAAAAGAGCACATGATTGATGACAATACACCTGAGGTTGCAAGGTGCAGCCTCCAGATAACCAGTGAACAGGAGAGCAGATAAGGGCAGTGCTTGAGACAGAGCCGTTTCCTACCGCGGGGTCAATGTCACGCCGACTACCCGGACACCTCCAGGCTGGGATTTTAGAGCAAGCAAGAATTCCTCAGCAGAAGCAGATCTGAAATCATTGCCTTTCGTTCCATATATATGCAGTGCACTGCAGGAGAAACAACGCATTCAGTCCTACCAACAAATCAATAAATAAAGGGAAACAAAGAAAAGCTAGATTCTTACGAGTTTGGGGAGGGACTGTTTTCTGTTGGGATGTCATGTCCAACACAGGACAGTGGGATTGTACAGGTTGCACTACAAGTAAGCCAAGAAAAAAATGTTCATAATGGTAATAATGTTGTCTTCAGCCGTGCTGATTTACCCAAGCAGGGGGATATTAAAACGGGAAGAAAATCTGAAGACATAATTTGACCAGAAACTAGAAGTTCTATTGGACACTCCCTGGCCTGTCTATTGATGAAAGAACAAGGAGAAGGAAATCCGGGCCGTGTTTGGACCTCTCCTTGGACTCGCCTGGCACTTTTCAAGGAAATCTCTGTCTCTGAGCCTGTTACTTTCTCTGTAAACCAGATTTCTGTTCTAGAGGTACTCACAGGCCTGGATGGCAGCAGAGTAGAATAAGAGAACATCCTGTGTATCCTATAAATTCTATAATTTATAAACATTGCAGTCACCAGCCGGGTTTCACAAATCCCAAATCGCAGCTTAGACCATGTCCCAGCCTTAAGAACAAATGTAAAATGTCTACACAGCATGGAAAAACAGGGAGAAAATGAAACCAAACGGGAGACCAATCTGATTTTCCTGTCCTGAAATGTGACAATTACAACTTACCAATATTACTATTTTGGCAGCTCCCAAAGCCTTATTTACAGGATCCAGAACACACCACAGCAGCAGTGTCTTCAAGCAGAAAGATGGAGAAAATACAGTTTCTTCACTGGATTTACTGACATTATTTCACAGGTAAACTGCATATCCGTGGGCAATTGCAGAATTAGAGCAGTGCTGGAGCACAGGTGACAAAGCTGATGCAGAACTACTACACATTTTAAGAAGCCCATTTCTCTGGGTTAGTAAGGGTACTAAGACGACACGTTTGGTCTAGGCTAGGGATAAAGCACAGGATCTAAGAAGCCCATCAAAACAACATTCTTAAGCATGGAAATGGCCTCCTGTTCTCCTGTTTTTGTATGTGGGTTATTAATCTAAACCTCCATGGAAGTTAGAGACACCAGGAAAAGGCGGTAGCAAAATTTAACATGCACCAAAACGAAACACTAAAAGCCTCAGCATTGTATATTTTATTACTCTCCAGGTCATAATAAATCATTTGTTAGTTAAAACAAAGCACAAAATCACAAGGACAAAGTTATGTCCTTTGTGAGTGGCTTGTAGGGTCTATGAGCTCGATATTCACCCATCACTGAAATCATGCTTCATTCAAACTCTCCTGCTGATCTTCATCCTGCCACTTCAAAAAGTCCTGACTTTTTTGGTCAGGGGACGGTTCCAATTCGGGTCACCTCATGTCCCTGTGCTTGCAGGGCACGGACGCACTGGGGGGTGCCTCACACTGCTCCCTACAGCTTACTGAGCAGCAGAGGTGATCCAGTTTACAAAAGACAATTTGCTCATCAGAAGAAAGTTTCTTAGACCACATCAAAGCTTCTGAATAAGGGCAGGGAACTGCAATACAGGACATGCATCCCAGACACCCACGAGCTGTTCAAAACCTGTGATCAGTGTTCTCTGTTACAGAGCCTTCACAGTCCGTTTAAAAACCACTAAGGAACACTACATTTAGCATAAGTAGTGACCTCTTTGACCATGACTCCGAACGAACCTGTTGGCAAACCTCCATCACACAAAAGTGATAATACTTACGTAGTGCAAAACGGAAATGTTTCGGGCTGGCAGCTCAATTATGTAGCCCATTATGAGTACAGAGCACTCTGCTTTTACATATGCAATGTGCTCTTCCTTTCTTAAAGCTGTCACAGAAACCTTGTCAATAAGTGTGGAGGCGGCATGAGAACGAAAACTAAATGCATGTTCCATTGTTCAAATGTCAGAGAGCCTGAGTTGTTCTTGCAAGAATTACATTAAGACAATGTCAGATTGAAAGAAGAGAAACTGGTGATACCAACCCATCATAATCTACGGCACTGCTAAAAACCCTTGGAAGAGTGCTTGACCTTGCAAATGCCAGAAAACAGAAAGCACTCATGAAAACCTTTGTACTTTGTACCATCTTTTTCCTGGAGCAAAGTTAT